GCATAAGTTCTACGGGAATTAGTTCAGAAACCCACAGAAATATGATATGAATAAAACCTTTTGTTTGTGCAAACGTCTAGTACATGCGCAACTACCCTACTAGCTCAAGGGGTACATCTATCCTCACACAGATGTCGCTACAGTAGTAGTCACAAGTGTATCTTTCTGTTGTGTACTGTTTTGTATTGTCGCGCTTATGTTAAATTCTCTTTTGGTTACGGTCGAAGCGCGCCGCTCATAAGCGCGATGTAACGCAACCCCGCCCATAAGGATTATACACAGGTGTGTAACTTTGATTGTATTTTATGGCAGTGGCTTGAGGAGCGAATCCTGGATAAAGAACCGCCGTGTGTTAAATCAATGGGCGCAGTCGTACGGCCATAAACAGAAAACAGATGGTAGGTATAATCCCTTTTTGAGAAATAATCCTGCCACACGCAATATTGTATTTGACAAATAAAATTATAGTTCGTATGCCTCCGCCATGGCAGGACGGCCAATCCAACGGTCGTGTTTTACTTTATATAGTTCTCCGTAAACACCTTTCATTCAACACATCAACACATGGATAAAAAAGTGTCATAGGATGATTATATTTTCGAACTTACTTGACACACCTTGATTTTTAACATACATAAAAATAAATCACAAGCAAGTTAGATATTGCATATCCGTGTTATGCTTTCTTTCTTCTGATCATCATTTTGGAAGATTTCAACGTATAATAGTGTCCTCGGAATGTATTCCACACCATCCCTTTAGCATACTCTTTTGTCACTCCCTTTAAATATTTCCCGTTCAAATTACTGAAAATTAAGAAAACATCAACTAATCATGAATCATGCACATTATGCATAATCACAAATACGCACCTTGCATGACACGCCGTATACCACCAAGCCCCATGAAACGTGACTGCACAGTTATTATACCATGTGTCGTTGTCCTTATCAAGTGTAGTGAACTTTGCGTCCTTAATCCCGGTGATGGAATCTCCCGCAGGTCCGCTAAAACCAGCTGCCATCGTCGCAGTGTATGATGTCTGCTCTCCTGCCACTTCGAAACGATCCAGTTTGGCAAAGGTTGAATTTCCTTCAAAATCCTCCAGTAATACCACCAGCTCATGCGGTGCCGAGTATGTCAGTTGATGAATCACATCCAATCCCAACCAAAATTCTCCTTCTAGGTTCCCAAAACCTCGTTTGTATTCGTTCCAATCTCGATAAAAATTCACAGATCCATCAAATCGCCTCTGAATCACAGTCCAACCACCACCGTCATATTTTTGATCACAGAAAATGTCAAGTGTCTCCCGAAGGTTGACTTTTACGTTGTAGACACCAGATGCTTTCGATGGAACCCTATCACATGATGTATAAACCTGCTGTGTATTTTGCAGAGATTCGCTCAATTGATCTAATCTACGGCCAATGTTTGTAATATGACTCTCTAATGCTTCCATTTTTCCTGACAGTAGCTCATACCCGAATCCGGAACAGGTACAGAGAGAAAATTTCCCTGTCAGGATGAAATATCCTAGCAATGTTAGTCGAATAAGATCCATACCGACTAAGAAACGTAACGGCACTACTGACGCGGCTGACTTGTACCTACTGAAGTGTGCTGCAGTCGGTTATCGCAACGGAGGCTATTCAAATTAGCAAATGGGGATTTTTGTGACGCATCCGAATAAAGCACATCGACCGACATGATGGTTGGTTCAAGTTGGTACCGTATCACGGGGTCAAGGTTAAAGGCGACGAGTGTGCGAACTGCTTGAGGGTGACACTTGAACCCCCGAACTCTCCTATACCTACGGAGCTGCGGTAAGTATTTTAGGAAGCTACGACTAGATGGGAATTCTATTAAATGTCATTTAATTTTTGTAAACACATTTTCAAAGATGGTTTTTACAACGGAAAAAAAAACCATAGACAATTTTTGGCCAGAGTTTTACTTTTGCACGTTGAAATGGCTCTAATGTTGGCCTATGAATCTAAGATTGGGCCCATCGCTAAAAACCTGCTATTTATTAATTGTATCTATATGAACGCGTCATTGGGACGGTACTAATGGATATTTTTGGTCGACTTTGAAAATTTAGTCGATTGCTGAATTTATATATGGACCCATACATCCATTTCCCCTATATTATATCAGCTCTTACAAAACATGCATTCCTGCGTCCGTTCTGAAGCTGTGTTCAGAGTCGTTGCTCACTCCCATAGGAAGTTATTTAATCTGTCACTACAGGAGAGTAAATTTCCTGAGGCGTGGATGTTATATGTTCTCCGTCCACAAGAAAGGCGATAAAAGAAATGTCCAGAATTACAGAGGCATCACATCACTATGTTGCTGCAAAGTATTCGAGATCATCATCAATGAGGCACTCTTCAGCTCTTATAAAAATTACCCAAAACGGTCAGTTACAACCAATTTGACCGAATTCGTGTCGCTCTGTTTCGGACCATGGACTCTGGCGGATAAATCGACACTGTTTACACTGATCTCAAGGCTGCATTTGAGCGAGTAGACCTCAACATTCTTTTGAGCAAGCTTGAGAAACTCGGAGTGTCTAGATCTTTCATCTCGTGGTTCAAATCTTACCTTACGAACCGTTTGCTTTGCGTTAAGATTGGAGCTTCTCGTTCTGAAGTGTTCACAAACGTTTCCGGCTTTCCCCAAGGAAGTAATCAGGAACCCCTTCTGTTTTTGCTTTTCTTCAACGAGCTTTCGTGTCTACTGCCACCTGGATGCCGGCTATTCTACGCTGACGATGTCAAAATGTGTGTGGTTATCTATTGCATCGCTGATTGTGAGGAGTTACAGCTGATGGTGGATCGTATGCATAGTTGGTGCTACCGTAAAGCTGGGTTTAGACAGGGCAAGTCAATTGATCAAGTCAGTTGAATTCAACTGACTTGAACGCGAATTGAACGTGTAAACCATGCCATTCAACTGACTTGATCAACTCACTTGAATTGAAAAAAGTTGAACCAGGCTCAACTTTTCAATCCAATTGAATTCAACTGAGTTGATCATTTGACTTGCCTAGTCTAAACCCAGCATAACTTCTTGACGCTCAGCATCAAGTGCAATGTGATATCATTTCACCGCAAAGAAAACCTGATAATATTTGATTATTTAATTTCCTGGCAAACATTAGAGAGCGTTAGCCAGATCAAAGATTTGGGAGTAACACTCGACTGTGAATTAACCTTTAAACCACACTACAATGACATCCTGACTAAAGCTAACAGGCAGCTTGACTTTATGTTCAAAATATATGAAGACTTTCACGATCCGCTTTGCCAGCCGGCAGGGTTGCCAAATCTACAGATTAATCTGTGTTTCTACAGATTTTTCAGAGTTTTTAAAACCAAGAATCTGTGATCACAGTTGCGTCTGATCAAGCGTCTGATACATTCTTTTCTGACCTTTTATGACAGCTTGACAGCAGGATGGATGAGGTACAACTTGTTCACATCCTGCTCTCACATATTCAATTAAACAGTGTCCAGTTGTGTACAACGAAAATTCTTAATATAACTGTTCGTCTCTTTCGTACCTTCGGAAAGCAGAAGTGAAACGCAAAGCAAGTGCGCGTAGACGTTTTCATTTTTGCCAGCTTGAAAAAACCTCGTTTACAGACTAAAAATGTCGAAAAGAACTATCGATACGTTCTTTCTTAAAGGTATGTAATCCTTAGCTGCTTCTGAATTCATGAGTTACAAATTTATGTTGCAGCACCTAAAAAACCACGGAATAACGAAACTGGATCCATGGAGCAGCACAACCAGCATCATGAAATGTCTGGAGATAACCAGCAGCTAAAATCCGCGAAAGGCTTGACGAAAGGAGGTAGTTTTTAACATTTTATGCGCCGTCTTCATCATGCTTGGCATACACAGTTGTACACACCAGTGTTGGGAAAATATCAAAAAATCAAATTTCACCAACGCCCATGATCACGCTTGATTTTCGTAGACAAAAATCAACAAGCAAACAACTGCGGTTGATTTTACAAGCTGTGATATCGCAGCTCGGAATATCAAGCTAACAAAACTCACCAACTGCAAATCTCACCAAACTGTGGTAAGTTTGAGTTGAATGAATTTTGCTTTACACCCAACGCAACCAAAACTTCCATAACGGCTGGCAGCAGTCCCTTCGTGTCTGCCATCGGTGAAGAGTAAAAATAGATAGCAAACTATGCTTTCTCTTTCTAAGAAAACGGTGTGCAATGGAATCATTTTTGTGTTGAGTCAACTCTCAGCATGATGTTTGCACGTTGTGAATAGTCTTGCAATATCAAAGGACCTTGTAAAATCAATATCAAGCATGATATGTTGTTCCAATATCACGCGTGATATTGCGAGCCCATGAGAGCGGAAAAATATCAATTGATTTCTAATTTTGCCAACACTGATTCGTATATTTACTGAAGCTGGAAGCTCATATAGTGAAAACAAATTCGATTTACTGAATTTAATTGTTTAATCAGCAAAATGCTGCCAAATGTCAAGATCAGTAAAGAAATATTGCTGATTTTCAGTAAAAGGTTGTCACTTTGACAGAAGTTGGAATTGCTGAAAAATTCAGCAGCATTATTTTGCTGGAACGTTTGGTGATCTTTCATCAAGTCTAAAATCAGCAAAAATTTTTCTGATGTTCAGCGATTCAAATTTGGTGTGTAACTTTGATCGTATTTTATGGCAGCGGCTTGAGGAGCGAATCCTGGTTAAAGAACCGCTGTGTGTTAAATCAATGGGCGCAGTCGTACGGCCGTAAACAGAAAACAGATGGTAGGTATAATCCCTTTTTGAGAAATAATCCTGCCACACGCAATATTGTATTTGACAAATAAAATTATAGTTCGTATGCCTCCGCCATAGCAGGACGGCCAATCCAACGGTCGTGTTTTACTTTACATAGTTCTCCGTAAACACCTTTCACTCAACACATCAACACATGGATAAAAAAAGTGTCATAGGATGATTATATTATCGAACTAACTCGACACACCTTGTTAGTTAGTTAGGATTTTAACATACATAAAAATAAATCACAAACAAGTTAGATATTGCATATCCGTGTCATGCTTTCTTTCTTCTGATCATCATTTTGGAAGATTTCAACGTATAATAGTGTCCTCGGAATGTATTCCACACCATCCCTTTAGCATACTCTTTTGTCACTCCCTTTAAATATTTTCCGTTCAAATTACTGAAAATTAAGAAAACATCAACTAATCATGAATCATGCACATTATGCATAATCACAAATACGCACCTTGCATGACACGCCGTATACCACCAAGCCCCATGATTCGTGACTGCACAGTTATTATCCCATGTGTCGTTGTCCTTATCAAGTGTAGTGAACTTTGCGCCCTTAATCCAGGTGATGGAATCTCCCGCAGGTCCGCTAAAGCCAGCTGCCATCGTCGCAGTGTATGATGTCTGCTCTCCTGCCACTTCGAAACGATCCAGTTTGGCAAAGGTTGAATTTCCTTCAAAATCCTCCAGTAATACCACCAGCTCATGCGGTGCCGAGTATGTCAGTTGATGAATCACATCCAATCCCAACCAAAATTCTCCTTCTAGGTTCCCAAAACCTCGTTTGTATTCGTTCCAATCTCGATAAAAATTCACAGATCCATCAAATCGCCTCTGAATCACAGTCCAACCGCCACTGTCATATTTTTGATCACAGAAAATGTCAAATGTCTCCCGAAGGTTGACTTTTACGTTGTAGACACCAGATGCTTTCGATGGAACCCTATCACATGATGTATAAACCTGCTGTGTATTTTGCAGAGATTCGCTCAATTGATCCAATCTACGGCCAATGTTTGTAATATGACTCTCTAATGCTTCCATTTTTCCTGTCAGTAGCTCATACCCGAATCCGTAACAGGTACAGTGAGAAAATTTCCCTGTCAGGATGAAATATCCTAGCAATGTTAGTCGAATAAGATCCATACCGACTAAGAAACGTAACGACACTATTGACGCGGCTGACTTGTACCTACTGAAGTGTGCTGCAGTCGGTTATCGCAACGGAGGTTATTCAAATTGGCAAATGGGGATTTTTGTGACGCATCCGAATAAAGCACATCGACCGACATGATGGTTGGTTTAAGTTGGTACCGTATCACGGGGTCAAGGTTAAAGGCGACGAGTGTGCGAACTGCTTGAGGGTGACACTTGAACCCCCGAAATCTCCTATACCTACGGAGCTGCGGTAAGTATTGTAGGAAGCTACGACTAGATGGGAATTCTATTAAATGTCATTTAATTTTTGTAAACACATTTTCAAAGATGGTTTTTACAACGGAAAAAAAAAACCATAGACAATTTTTGGCCAGAGTTTTACTTTTGCACGTTGAAAATAGTAACGATTTTACGAGTATGCAGCGGTATACTTGAAGTGTATCTTTGGGGAGTTTTATTTCTGATGGATATTATTGTAACTTCGAATCTTCAAGAGCACATGATAGAGGAAATGGCTCTAATGTTGGCCTATGGATCTAAGATTGGGCTCATCGCTAAAAATCTGCTATTTATTAATTTTATCTAGATGAACGCGTCATTGGGACGGTACTAACAACAATCAATACGAAACTAACGATTTTAAATTGGCTCACTACTTGACTAGCCTATTGGTCCCAAGCAAACGATTAACGAACCCCATTTTAGTCGAAATTCTACTACTACACAATGTTTGTTTTGATTCACTATGAAAGTTTGACAGATAAAATGAGGGGTTATTGGATTTTCCTACGTTTCGAGGGGTGAATCGACTAGCTTGGGACCGAAGATAGTACCAGAGCTGAGCCAAAAAGTTGAGCACGTTTCTTCGGGACCTACTAGTCTTAGAGTTACCTCTATGGTACTAATGGATATTTTTGGTCGACTTTGAAAATTTAGGCGATTGCTGAATTTATATATGGGCCCATACATCAATTTCCCCTATATTATATCAGCTCTTACAAAACATGCATTCCTGCGTCCGTTCTGAAGCTGTGTTCAGAGTCGTTGCTCACTCCCATATGAAGTTATTTAATCTGTCACTACAGAAGAGTAAATTTCCTGAGGCGTAGATGTTATATGTTCTCCGTCCACAGGAAAAGCGATTAAAGAAATGTCCAGAATTACAGAGGCATCACATCACTATGTTGCTGCAAAATATTCGAGATCATCATCAATGAGGCGCTCTTCAGCTCTTGTAAAAATTACCCAAAACGGTCAGTTACAACCAATTTGACCGAGTTCGTGTCGCTCTGCGTTCGGACCATGGACTCTGGCGGACAAATCGACACTGTTTACACTGATCTCAAGGCTGCATTTGAGCGAGTAGACCTCAACATTCTTTAGAGCAAGCTTGAGAAACTCGGAGTGTCTAGATCCTTCATCTCGTGGTTCAAATCTTACCTTACGAACCGTTTGCTTTGCGTTAAGATTGGAGCTTCTCGTTTTGAAGTGTTCACGAACGTTTCCGGTTTTCCTTTTCTGGCTTAAAGCCTGGTATGCAGCTGAAAAGTAATGACGTTTTTACGTGCTACGGGATAGGACACGGAATGCTAAAGAAATTTCTTTTAATTAGCATTTCTTGACCCAGTACGCAGTTCAAAAGAAATCGGTAAAGGAAAGATCGATTACATTAGTATCGTGATCGATATGAAGGTGGCGCCTTCTGAATGCAATTTCATTTTCCTTGCGGAATAATGGTCTGACTAATTATTCCGTTAGGTAATTTTAACGTTTGTTGTAAAAATGATGTTTTGGATGCATTTTAACAACATAAAAACTGATATTTGTTGATTTTAAAATTAGACGACACCTACCTATGAACTCAAAATTTAGCAAAAGACACCTCCCTATAGCTGTCAAATTTACTTTTGGGAATATTCCTCAAAAATTACTTTTCCGTTTTCTTTTCAGCAGCGTACCAGGCTTTACCCAAGGAAGTAATCAGGAACCCCTTCTGTTTTCGCTTTTCGTCAACGACCTTTCGTGTCTACTGCCACCTGGATGCCGGCTGACGATGTCAAAATGTATGTGGTTATCTATTGGATCGCTGATTGTGAGGAGTTACAGCTGATTGTGGATCGTATGCATAGTTGGTGCTCCCGTAACTTCTTTACGCTCAGCATCAAGTGCAATGTGATATCATTTCACCGCAAACAAAACCCGATAATATTTGATTATTTAATTTCCGGGCAAACATTAGAGAGCATTAGCCAGATCAAAGATTTGGGAGTAACACTCGACTGTGAATAAACCTTTAAACCACACTACAATGACATCCTGACTAAAGCTAACAGGCAGCTTGGCTTTATGTTCAAAATATCTGAAGACTTTCACGATCCGCTTTGCCTGCCGGCAGGGTTGCCAAATCTACAGATTAATCTGTGTTTCTACAGTTTTTAAAACCAAGAAACCAAGATCACAGATTTTTTTGATTTTACACAGAATATACAGATTTTTTTTTAATTCTCGCTACAAGCTATTAATTATAAATAAATATAAAATGTTCACTTTTGTATCACTCACTGACACCTACCTATTTTATTAGCCTTGGCATGATGAGAATAATAAGAACTGTCTGTTGCGTCTGATCAAGCGTCTGATACATTCATTTCTGACCTTTTATGCCAGCTTGACAGCAGGATGGATGAGGTAAAACTTGTTCACGTCCTGCTCTCACATATTCAATTGAACAGTGTCCAGTTGTGTACAACGAAAATTCTCAATAAAACTGTTCGTCTCTTTCGTACCATCGGAAAGCGGAAGTGAAACGCAAAGCAAGTGCGCGTAGACGTTTTCATTTTTGCCAGCTTGAAAAAACCTCGTTTACAGACTAAAAATGTCGAAAAGAACTATAGATACGTTCTTTCTTAAAGGTATGTAATCCTTAGCTGCTTCTGAATTCATGAGTTACAAATTTATGTTGCAGCACCTAAAAAACCACGGAATAACGAAACTGGATCCATGGAGCAGCACGACCAGCATCATGAAATGTCTGGAGATAACCAGCAGCTAAAATCCACGAAAGGCTTGACGAAAGGAGGTAGTTTTTAACATTTTATGCGCCGTCTCCATCATGCTTGGCATACACAGTTGTACACACCAACTGCTCATTTGTTAATAGCTTTTTACTCAGTTGTTGAAATTCGTTTTTCCTTAAATTAATTGATAGATTAGAAGCATACCTTACTATAGATATGCAAAAAGTAGATAAATCTTAACATTCAATGAATTTTTACTCTTAAAGTCCAAGGTGTGCAGCGAGCATTTTCACTTCATTTTTTCAACGCAAAAACAAATACAGTTTATTACTAGAATTAAAATCTACTTTGTTTTATATATCTATAACAAGCTTAAACTCTATTCTATCTACAGCTTTAGAAAGAACTATGTTTCGTCAACTCTGTGTAAAGTTATTAGCAAATGAGTAGTTCGTGACCAAATCTGTGTATGCCAAGCATGGTCTCCATGAAGATGAATAAAAACCGTTTTTTATGCATCAGGTCCCAACAGAAATGAAAAGGAGCAGGAAGCAACCAAAAGCTACAAGAATCTGCACCATTTACTAGCCAAGGTATTGCGTTTGAGTGTATGTTTTTGACATTACAATTTTGCAACATAACAATATACTATCTTTGACCCTTGAATAAATTGTTAATTTGCTTTCTTTTTTATAGGCCTCAATCATGATGAGCATTCATCTAGCTCCAGTATGACCACTTCAGATAATCAGACTAGCGATATTGACAGGAAGAAAACTTTAAAAGAACCTACTCAATCCGTGTTTTTGCAAAAGTTTAAAGACGGATGGATTGATTCTTCAGAATTCCTCTGTTTTGAAAAGTACAGAAAGGACCCACACTATGCTTTTTGTAAAGTTTGTCTAGACAAACTTAGTGTCGCACGAGGTGGTAAGTCTAATTAGACTAGTCATTTGCAAACAAAACGTCATCGCGAAGCAGTCAACAAAATGAAAGAGTCTGATAACTCGAACATTGAATATTACTCTCTTGGGGACAAAGTTTATGAAGCAGAATTAAAAATTTCTGATTTGGCGGTGCAACACAACATTCCATTCGCAGCCGTAGATAAGCTAGCAGATGTTCTAAAAACGCTCGACCTTAAGTCGAAAGTATTGCCAATGATTAGACTAGGCCGAACAAAAGCTGCTGCAGTTGTTAGTGGAGTAATCGCAGCAAGTCAACACGACGAATTAGTAGATAAAATGAAAACATCGGATTTTTCAATCATGGTTGATGAATCCACTGACTTGGGAACCATTAAAATTTTAGCTATTGTCGTCCGTATTTTGGATGAAGAGAAGTTTCAGGTGAAAGACTTTTTTCGTATAGATCTGTAGAGCTGCACAGTGCAGATCACAAATCGATTTACGATGCAATTTTACGCGAGTTTCTCAAAGATGGAATCGATTATAAACTACGAATGAGAGCTTTGCATCTGATGGTGTATCAGTAATGATGGGCAAAAATAACTCCGTGATGAGCCTGTTTCAAACTTAATTGTAGTTAAGTGCACATGTGTGCTAGCTACGCTTGTGATCAAATTCCACCATACAATTCCATATTTTACCATCAAATTCCACCAAAATGCTTAAAAACAAGCCTAGGCCCATTCCCTCACTGACCCCACTGGATCGTCCCGGCGACCCAGTGGTTCATCTGATATCTCCTGAAGAGAAGGCTGCCACGATAGGTCAACAATTCGTCAGCTCCCATAATCTCGGACAAAACATCGTCAGCCCTCATGAATCTGAGGTTGCTGAAAATGCAACCAATCTTCTTCAGATTCCTAACATTTTTCCAGAGGAATCCGAGATTACGGCTGACGAACTGTTGGCCTATATCAAATCATCTAAAAACATGAAGGCCCCAGGTTTCAACAACATCCTGAATCTGGAACTCTACAACCTATTGGAGAGGCAACAATCGTGCCACCTCTATAG